GGGGTGGAGGGGAGGGGCTTGACCTAGCGACTTTGCAAAATAAACACCCACAAAATCTCACTAAGGGCTCCTAACCTCTTTTGTCGTTCTCAGTGACAGTTTCGACGAACATGGCTGGAAGTCATCTAAACTGTTAATGTCAGCGCGGATATTTTGGCTAGATTTGCTTTAGAATTGACTTTAGCTGCTAAATAGGTGATTCTTTTTTGATGGGATGGGACGGGATGAGACGGCACTGCCTCTGATTATGTCTCTGTTTGGGGAGCTGTATCTGATAAGTTTGACGTGTTCCTCGAGGCTTGTGTCTTGGTCCCCTTCTCTTTACAGTATATGCAAGCGCACTGTTTGATGTCGTCGAAAAGCATCTGCCAAATGTTCATTGTTATGCCGATGACTCTCAGTCATACATCTCGTTTAGTTCCAAGGCGCACTCTGGCCAGGCTGATGCTGTTGCTGCTATCGAAGATTGCATTCAAAGCATCGGGCAGTGGATGTCTCAAGACAAGTTACTTATGAACGATGCCAAAACAGAACTTCTTTTGATTACCACACAGCAAACTGCTCGAGTCACAATTGATAGCATAACTATCGGACGCTCTTTCAGTGCTCTATAATCTCCCATTCGGAATCCGGGTGGGTGGTTAGATTCTAACCTATCAATCGGATGGGTGATCACATAACGAATGCAAGCATTCTCTTATTCATTATTTGTACAGTATTAGAAGGATAAGGGAATATCGAAGCAAAGAATGTACTGAACACTGATACATACCTCGATTTTTAGCCGCATTGGCCAGACCGCGGAGTGTGTGCTTCAGGTAGTACGCACGAAATTTTCGAGCCGGGCCGCAAAATCTCACTGTAACTATTGTGAAAATAACATCGATAATGACGAAATCTACCATGCAGTCTTTGAAAAAAAGAAAACAATGGCCCGAAGAGTCAACTGGCGAAACTTAAAAAAAATATTAACTTACAATTCTCCTCTCCCTATATATCTTTTGTACCTATCATCATAATTATTTCATTTTTTTTCTTTTTGTCCTTTAATTAATCAGTTTTCCTTTTTTGATTGAATGAGGAACCATATACTAATACGTTTTTCTCTGTTTTTGCAAAACTATTACTTTGTTAACCTCTTTTTCCAACTCTTTTTGAAATCTGTAATATTTAGAACTTGTGAGACTGGCTGCCTCGATTAGTTTGTAGCTACCTGGAGGTCAGTCAGATTGATTGTAAATAGTTTGTTTTATAATAAATAAACTTGAAACTTGCTATTGCAATAGCCTGTTACCGTAATATAAAATTCCGAAAATGAGCCCCGGGGCTTATATTTTTCAAAGGCCCTTTTTGAGGGGCTTATTTTTGGAGGAGCCTATATTCGGAGGGGCTTATGTACGGAGGGAAATTTGCGTTTCAAAATCGATTGGGCTAGCCTCATTCTTGGAAGGAAATTTACCTTTTTTCTTTGTTTTACTTTGTACTTGAGGGCAATTTCACAAGTACGAGCTCCCGGGGGGCATGGAGGGGAGATATAACGGAGGGTTTTTTGCGTTACAAGTTTGGGGGGGCTTATATTTGGAGGGACTTATTTTCGGAATTTTACGGTATATGGCTTACAGGCTTATCAGTTTCAGAAACTGCAAAGAATCCAGGAGTTTGCTGCGCGCCTTGTATTCAAAGAAAGCAAATTTTTGTCATATTACACCACTGCTAAGAGCCCTATACTGGTTACCAGTCGCGTATCGCATAGTTTTTAAAATTTTATTGTAAACTTTTAAGGCCATTCATGGACTCGCTCCGACTTACATTTCCAAACTTGTATCTATATAACACATTGGGGTAGATTGTTTACGATCAAATGACGGCATACTTCTGAACATACTAACTAGTAAGTCTTTTACCACGCGGGTTATCGATCTTTTTCTATGGCTGCCCCAAAATCATGAAACGATCTTCCCCTTTTTATTAGAATTACATCTTCATTAAATGGTTTTAAAAAGGCACTAAAAACACATTTATTTCGGAAGGCGTTTCCAAGCTAATTTATTATTATTATTATTTTCTAAATTATTAACTAAGATTTGTCAATAGGATTTTAAGAAATAATTTTAGTCATTGCTTTTAGAATTTTAGCATTATTATTTTTATAAATTACTAAGTTAAGATTTGTAAATAGCATTTTGTGAATAATTAATCATTGTTTTTAAAATCTTTAGAATTAGGATATGTACTAGGAATGTTTTATTATTATTATTATAATTATTTTATAAAAGTAGATTTTTTTCAACAGGATGACCAAGTAGGATTTATGTAATGTGCAGATGAAAATTATTGTGGATTGATATTTGCGCAATACAAATTAATAAGTATTATCATTATTTTTATTATCATTATTAACATTATTATTATTTATATCTACGGGACGTGCGTTATCAGGTGTAGCATAAACTATCTTGCCGGACAGAGACAAAATAATTAACCGTTACCCCAAATGATAAACGCCGTCCCAGTCTGACGTGGTCCCAATAAATGTCTTTTTTTTTTCTACTTGTAAAAGGATGCGTTCTCCTTTACGAAATATGATGAGGGTATATATCAGGTAGTTGCAATGCTTTTCTTGGCTGTTTTTAATAAGAAAGTTGACAAATGCAGTAGCGGACGCATTAATATAATGCATAATTACGTTATTTTTTAAACAATGTAATACAGTTGAAAAATATTTCTGCAATGATCATTCTGTTAGTATGAGTATCTGCTTTTGTATCTCTATAAAAAAATGTATCAGTGCGTACACAACACCTCCACAGTAAGTTATTAAAGTAATCATATTTTCAAAAATGTGAATCTTCTTCTCCTTCATTCCTGTTGCTTCGTTTTTCTGGTAAAAAAGACCTGGCTTGCCTTCCAGTCAATTTACATTGTTCACAAACAGGCAACAAGCGTTGGCGACGAGGTAAGGCTAATTCTTCGCGAAGTTTCTTGTCAGAACTACCACAATAACAGCAGACATTTGAGGAGTCCAAATAACTGCAGTAAAAAGCTACCTCAACTGGATCTTCACAAGAATGAAATAACCTCATAGAGATTCGTTCTCCAAGTGGATGTATCGGTGGTAATAAAGGTGATCCACAAGAAAACACATTGTTGGCTGTGAGTTCTTCGAGAAGATATCTTTCCCGGGTGGAGAGTTGTTTCTGAGCGTAAATACAACGAGGTTTACAACAACGAAAGCAATTAACCACGCCACGGACTCTATCGCCTGTAAAGGGGGCAAAGTTAACTCGGCTTGGCTTAAACGACGTAAAGACAAATTCTGCGTTTGATATTGGACTGGACGCGTTGGTGCAAGAGAGGCAAATTGCCATATCCACCATTAGACTGCTTGTCTTAATCACTGCTGAAAAAAGTTGTAGAGTCAAATATACTTACAAATCTATGCTTTGACGTCATTTGGGTGTGTCCTGTAATTGTGAAGTCTTGCAATGGGTGTGTCACAGCGTTCTTAAGAACAAGCCCCAGTGACAAGGTATCAGACTCGGAAGAGTGCATGCACGTACGTTAGAAACTGACGCTACTTTGTTTGCCATTACCTCGGGCGTAAATACAAGAGCCCTCAGTCTAAATACGAATAACTTACCGAATCAAAGTATGTCTAGTTCAACAATGAGCTGTTGAGTGCGCGGCGCTTCAATAAAGGTGTCAGGGAGTGGGCGTATGTAGTAAAAGGCGTGGTACCAGCAGATCCAACTTATATGGCTTCTGATTAAGCAATTTTTTTCGAAATAACAATTTTGGAAACCGGACACTCACTCACCCCTCCCCTAACCCAACATTAATAATAATAACTCCTCACTTCATAATAAGGTAAAATCTTGGGTTAGAGGAGGGGTAGGTGAGCCGGGTAGTTTGAATCTTATACTGATTTATAATATTTGATGAATGACCAACCATTTGTTTAACAGTTAACATACGAAGTTACCTGCATGAGCAAATAAAGAAAGAATACTTATGGTTGTTACGCCGCTTCTCCGAAAGTAACATGTTGGACTAAAGAAAACAGTCATTGGGCGAGAAGAGCTCATGACTACGCTCCTGTTGTGCCATCATCGACGACAACGACAACAATTTTTTTTAATGATATGAATCGTCCGGTGTAAACAGCGTAGCCAGTCATTGTGCAACCAGAAGAAGTATCAAGCTTATGTTACGGTAAATAAATGACTCCTAGCAAACTTAGCATTAGTAAATTGTATTTCAACTAGTGTTTCTCGGCAACACACAGACAATATTTGGACCCGAAAAAAATCAATGTTTTTACTTACATTTTGCCAAATGGTTTTGGGGTGCTCACAAGGTCGCCGCTCCCGAAAAGTATTAGCTAAAAGATTTAGAAAGCCGTTTTTCGATAAAAGAACTGTAAATGAAAACAGAAATTAGCCATGAAAGCAAACCTTGCAGAACTTTAGCGAACGTTTACTACAGAAACTCTTCTATTTGTTCAACTGTTCAACCGAACAAACAGGAAAACTCATTTGAGCTTATTTTCAACAGGTTCAAGCTGAAATGTAAAACACACGACGAAATTCACACACGCAATAAATGCAGTTTTTATTGTTGAAGTTATTTTAGATGCAAGCTAGAATGTGTTTGATATTAGCAGTGAATCAGTTTGTTTGTCATATAATTTTGTTCATGATGTTTCTTACGCATGGCGATTTCGGCAAGCAGGTACCTTTACCAAATTTTGGTAAATAATTAAGAGCAAGTTTTCTAAGAACGCAAGTAAAAGTAATTTATAAGCCTACTGACCATTCAATCTAGCAAACAAACAAACAAATTCTTACAGCCTGAGCCCCAGGGTGGGTTGGAATAGGCTTTGATGGATATGGGGCTGTTTTGGCTTTAATTGCGCTCAAGTAGCTCAGGGAGAGGCAGAATCAAACTTTGCTCTGCAGGCCAGGGCTGAGTTGGCACTCTGGGGCTGAAACAGTTCTTTGTAATTTTCAGTGTATGAAAAGTTGGGTCGCCCAGGGTAGCTTTGGGTAGGCGGGACAATTGGGACAATTTTTCTCCACATAAATGGCGCCTTACACTCAAACTAGCAGTGTAAATGTTACTCTTGGAATGTGCTTCTTATACAGATAACAAGCAAGCTTGATGCAACTAATTATTGTAATTAACTAAAGTATAGCATCATATCTCTTGAAACAGGTATAAGTCAGCATTATCATTTATGATGGTATTTTCTTACTTGATAGTCTCAGACGGCATATAAGGACGCTCACTCAAACTTGGATTATCTGAAAAACAGGTTGGGTAATATATCCTGCTTTCTAATATCGTGACTTTTTCCCACATAATTTATGTGTCTCTAACATCGTTTGTTTGCAATGCAAACTGACACCACCCTTCTTGAGGAAAGTACTGCATTCTGTTCTTGTGTTTTGGAGGTTTTACGTCCTCTCCATAATAATTAGTGACAGTCAACCATGGCATTACGAATACAAGTTCCTCCAACATCTCATCTGGTACAAGATTACACTGTGTAGCATCAAGTTGCCGTAACATGGGCATATTCTGGGGTATCTTTTTCAGAGGATTTCCACGCAAATCTTTTGCACCACAAATGTTCATATCAACCATGCGGTGACAATTTTTGACCACATGGTCTAGACCAAAATCAGTTACTTCCCAGCACCAGGAGATATCAAGGCTTTCCAGATACCTACAACTTCAGATATAAAACAAACTTGCTGAAAAAGATGTAATCTGCATAACACTGACCTTGTTGTATTAATTAAGCCTATAACAACCCGGATTTTTGGTCAGGTACTGCTCTGACCACTCCATTTATTACTTTACAAATCACCCAAAACATTTTTGATACTGCTTATCCTTGCACATTAAGGCTTAAGGCTCTAAGAAAAATAGTATAGCGTATTAATTGTATAATATTTGGCTTGTTGAGTATGATTCCAGTCAAGGACTTTAAACATATACATTTTAATATTCATAACATTTTGCATGTCTTTCTCTGTTCAGATGATTGACGACTGCATATAGCTCCTATCTGACAATAATCTGCATTTTTCTACATGAAAAATGAATGTAAAGAACTTAGTTTAGGAAGACACTGAGACGGAGGTACAGTGGATCCTTGATTATATGGACTTAGTGAGATTAGAGTAAATTAATAGTCCAGAAGATAGAGTCTGCATGATTGAAAATGAGAATATTATTCATAACTATACTTTTGTCCATTGCAATGGAAGATTGTCCAACAACATATTGCCTAAAATTTTTCCATCTGTCATCTGTGGTTAAGAGAGTAACTCAGTTTCCAGTGTTCAGATAAATGTTGCGCACATGTGAACATAAATGTGAACATAAATTCACTTCAAAGGCATATATTCCATAGCCTCCCCCGCAGATGCTAAGAATGTCTGCAGGGAGGCTATCTATTCCAACACTTGAAAAGAAAATAATAATTATTAATCATGACCTCAGATCTTAATGACGATTTACCACACCTTCATGAAAAAGGAAATTAATACAGCCCAGAAAATTTAGGATTATTTTGGACAATCAGGAGGTCCAGTTAATCAAGGTTGCACTGTAATAGGAATGCAAAATAGATACTTTTCGATTAAATAGGACCTTATAGTTGGCCCTAAGCTAGTATCAATGAACCCAAAATTATTAGGTTACATGAATACCTTTCTGCCAGGGCATGTAAAGCAGCATCATTAAGATTTGTGCATTCAGCCACAGTGATGTGTAGCAGCCCTGTGGGATTTCCTGTCCTTTCTGGATGCAATTGTACAAATAGTTCTTTCAGAGCTTCACCTGAGAATTCACTTCCCTTTTTCAGTCTAAGAGACACTAAGTTAACCATATTCTGTACATATAGTAAAGACTGGTCAGTCAGTGACTCACAAAATGACAAACCAAAAAATCTGTGATGGAATAAAACAAAACATATGTCATTAAAGTCGATCAACCAAATAAAAGAAAAGCACGCACTATTTGACTGCATGCAGTGTGCATGTTAGGGTATCTAAAGTAAATGATGTAAATACTTAGATGTATTATGGTGATTTTGTAAGAAGACTAAAAATAAAATAGACTTAAATTGTATTTACCTACTTAGGTTATTTAAATGGAGAATACTCAGTTTGAAACAAAGGAAAATAAAATTCAAATAAAGGACAAATTGACTATAATGGCCAAAAAATAGACTATAATGGGGTAGGGGGTCTGAGAGGCCAGCAGCACATACCCAGCAAACATAAACCCAAGCAACCCCCCCCCCCCCCCCCCCCTTCCCCCAACCACCCAAAAGGCACGCCCGCCGCCTCGCCACAGTTTTCCCCTTTTCGCGGGCTCTTTCGCCCCCGAAAACAAAATAAAAAATTTTTCTAAAAAAATAAAAAATAAAAAAGCTATCACAAAAAAAGAAACACAAAAGAAAAAAAAAATATAAAATAACTAAAACAA